GTTTCGAAAAAATTGCAACGACATTTTCTTTTTTTAATTATCTTATCAAAATATTTCTACTAGTCCATGCATTGAGCTCTGTCAGATTGACTTGAGAAGTTCGTCTTAGAAGCTGAGTATTAACGAATCGTCCATAGTCAACCTATCGATGCCTTCATTTTAGGGGCGATGAAGAAAGAAGGTGCCATAATATATACTGTATTTTTCGTTATTGAGTAGGTTTTCGGGACTACTAGTAAATAAGATATTTGAGTTGTGTTCACCCTATATCTTTTATGGTGAGGAAGGTCTGGTAGTCGAATTTTCCCACAATGATTTGAGTAAAGCTGACGTTTCCTTTGAAGTTCACCTAGCCTTGCTTTCCCAAAAGGTATTCTCATTCAAGGTGGACTACAGTTTCGACCTCGCATCGGTCTTATCAACAACCCCAGCGGGAGTCGAACCGTGATGCTGCAGCGTCTAATCTCGACACGCTAGCCACTACGCCACTTCCTCGAAATTCACATCTGCTCTGTGACTCAAGGGCACTCGTGGCAATATGACGGAGTGGTTACCGTGTCGAGTTTACACGCTACACTTTCATGATTTGACTCCTACTGGGGGGTGTTGATAAGGCCTAGGCGAGGTCGAAACTGCAGTCCACTTGCAATGAGAACACCTTTTGGGAAAGCAAGGCTATATGAAATTCGATGGGAACGTCAGATCTATTCATTTGATTGTGGGAAAATCGAACTACCAGTCCTTCATCATCTTAAACGTAATATAATTAATGCAGCTCATGTAATATATTTCATCAGCTAAATTCTGTTACAGTACTTTGTATACAGTTTTCATACTTTATTTACTTTATGCTGAAGTCTTTGTTGTGATATCAGCTTAGAGGTAGATCCTTTTCGGATTTTGGTTCCAGCAACTTATATTCGTTGGGGCTATCAATTCTGATTTGTATCCTGCTTCTGCTGTATGCTGCTGTTGAGCATAAATTTATTTCTATCATAAAGTAACCAAAACTCGATTTTTTTTATTTTTTTGCATGTAATATTGAAGTGCCTCGAAGCTAATAATTTTTTCAGGAGTAGCTCATCAAGAATAGGCAATTTAGTTGAGTCATACCATATATATTGCCTCCATTAGAGGGTTTATCTTTATAACATACTTAGAGGTTGTATTCATCTAAAATTCTAAAATCGTTTTCTCGCAAAAACTTTTTTGTGCAGCGTATTTGAGACACGCACTAAGATATAACGATGGCATTAATAGATATATACATTCAAGTCCTAAGTAAATGATGATTATACAGCCGGAAAAATTCATGCTTTACTCACTTTGCCTATGTATGGATATTTTTCTTCACTGGTGATTCCATGCTTTTGCATGTAATTAAAAGAGTAATCCTGAAGTCCTCCGTTACAGAACATGTTTCCCTCCTCGCTACTGCAATCGACAACCTGTTGAGTCGAAAAGTCAATTAATTTGTCGGTCTTTTTCTTATATTGGCCCTCCAGAGACCCGCAAGCGGAGAATGCATAGCAGGATCCACAATTGCCCTAAAAAATGGAGCGTATAGAAATTTTGTAAGAAGCATACTAAGTATTATTTAATTTACTTATAAATGGGTGCCTTTGAGAGTTTTTTATTTTAGAATTTCTTCTCCAATGTATTTATTTTACAGATTTACTTTGCTGCTAATATCATGGATGACATAACTATAAACTTTTCATGTATGCTACTGTAACTACTTTCATTACCACATGTAACAGTAATTCTCCTAAATGAGAAGTCCTTTCACATTGTATGTATCAGAAAAAGGGATTGCATAAAGAAGCAAATCACAAAACTAGAATGTTAATGAAAGGTAAAGCTAAGTTTATGGCACTCCTACAGCTATGAAAGATCGCCAGCAATGTGAAATAAATTAAATATGCAAATGCTTTAAATAATAACTTTTTATGGGGAAAAAATAACTGACAGCTTTTATTTTTATCTCGTAAGACTGTCTCAATAAGAGATTTATAGCTTCTAAAGTAGCAGACAAATTATCCTTGGCACATATCATGGATAATTGACAATATTGCTATTTAGAGGGTGACAGCTATTTCCCTTAAATATAGGCCTGAAGCAGAGTCACAAACTTCGGTACCATCTTGGGACTCTTCTCAGATAGGTTACTGAGCCTAATACAGTCTCATCAGCTTTGGGTGAATCTATTAGAAAGATGGTAGTTAAAATCAAAGTTGATTCAGAACAGATAATCTAGCGGCAAATTAGCATCCTTCTCAAGTATATACAATATATGAAATCTTATTTGCGGTATCAACACATGTTCATACTTCAGTGGTGAGGCCAACGCTTGTTCCTAGAGGAATGAATCTCTGATAAATTTACTTACATGATTGAATTGACTTGAACTCGGTAACACATTTGATTCGTGCTATAGAAGATGCATCTAACAATGAAATTCGTTCCGTATCCTTTGCCACACTTCCCACATATCCTACTATAAATTAAATATGTACTCAGACCATTTGAAGGCTATAAGGAAACAGGAAAACGATGAAAAAGGAAAGAATATTTGGATTTCGAGAAATCTCTTGGTTTATAATTGTTGATCTCATTTCCATTTCAAGTGAAAATGTTTGGTAAGGTGGATCCCATAAGAAGACGATGGCGGATTCCTCTTAGCCAGCAGTATACTAGCTTTACTGGAACATTATTGCTGACACCGATTCCTGGGTAATCTCCTTCCATTCCTGTAAAAACATGCCAAGCTTTTCTACTTCATGTGACAGAAATCGTAAGAGGAGGGTGTCATTTTTGCAACTTTATTCAAACTATCTAATCGAGTAAATTCACGGGCTTAATCTTAAATATAGGCATTTTGATTAAGCATAATATGATTTGGTTATTTTAGTCATATGTCAATAAAGAATCACTTATGGATTTCTCTTGCGTCTCCATGCGAATGTATAATCAAGGTTAAATAACCATTTCTCTCATTTTGGATATTTTAACCACCACTCAGAATGCGTAATGCCTTTACAAGCTAGAATGAATATGGCTGTAAGAATGTTACCATGCTCGGATAATATCAGTCATATGACGGTCAATAGCTTGGAGAGTTTTCATCGGAATCGAAGAAGATTGCCTTGTAACCAGCGTCAACTAGAAGGCTAGGGTAAAGATCACTCCAATCACATTAAATTGAACTTTATCCTTGAAATATTTTAATATACAAGATTGTTTAACGGTCTATCCTTATCCTTTCTTATTGCAAATGTCATTTTTTGTAGCATAGTGTATTCAGCTTTATGCAAACTGTCATTTGACAAATAGATCACTTGTGAATATAAATATTTTTACCTAGAGTTTCGAGGCTATCAGTCAATCTTGATTTAGTTTATTTGATTTAAAGTTGTGAGGGACTGATAGTTAAATCATCCCACAATGGAATGGGGGGGGTTTAAGTTTTCAGTGGATTTCACATAGCCATTTTGTCAATGTTCATTCTTATTTTGGGGGGGACAGAGGTTTAGACCTGGCGTAGGTTTCATCAGCACCCCAAGCGGGAGTCGAACTCGGCCTGCAGTATTGTAGCGTATAGTCTCGACATTTTAATAACTACGCCACACTGCAGCGAATGCCATTGGGTCACAGGGCAGATGCGAGTTTAAAGGAAGACTAGATCTCTCTCATATCACTTTCCGTGGTGGGATTGTCGATTTAGTAAAAAATTAAAGTTTACTTAAATATGCAAATAAGCAGTTCAGTCGATTGTAATAGTAGCTACAACTATTCTTCATCAATGATCCTATCACAGAAAATGATATGTAAAATGCCCAGTCTTTCTTTAAATTCACATCTGCCCGGTGATCAAATGATATTCGTTGTATGTGGTCTTGTTATTAAATGACTATTTGAATAAGACTGTGTACGCTGTTACTAAACTGGTAATTGCAATAAGAAAGGATACAGATAGGCCGCTAAACAATTTAGTATATCGAAATATTCCAAGGAAACAACTTGATTTGGTGTGATCTTAGATACAAGGCCATGATAGTATATTTACAGCCTCCTTTCACTTTATTCAATTGGTATTTTACCCCATGTTTAAAAACGAATCGTACTTTAATAAAGTACTTATATCAATAATTACTCTGCAATTTCATCACTAGTTGAAACCAGCGCGTGTGGTTTCTGGGGCATATATAATATCCAATCTGCTGAGCAACTCTATTGTCAAAGAGATGCAGAGTAAATATAACTTTTAAGTCAAATAAACTTATCCAGAACGTTTAATGTGTGTATTGACGGTGCCAAATTGGTGAATGTGTAGCAGTTGAATTGTCAAATATTGTCAACTTTGTTTGGAAGACTGACCATAAATCAGGTATCATAAAAAATAGCCAAATATCTTCTGCCATAAGCAATAATTGAGACTATTTTCTGAATATTTGCAAGGTGAATAAATATGTCGGTAATAGTTGATTCTTACGCGATTGAGTTTCACTCAGTCTATGCTTTTACTTAATAGTATATGACTTATAGTTTGACTATAAGTAGAATGCCCCAGGAAATAGCTTATATTAAACATTCTAAATTTTACTTCCTGAGCGCTGTTTAATAACTTATATGATATTTTGAGAAGTTTTAAGCAAATGTAGTTGATGGTATGGTTAATTTGAAAATGATCTCTCTGGCCACTACTGTTGAATTACTCGATAATGACTAAGCATATGTAAGCCTTAGGAAATTGACCTGGAATACCTTAATTGAGAAGTATAAACTATTTCACACTTTAAGCCTTGACAAATCAAGGATTAGGATCACATAAACTTAGAAGGATAAACAAAAAATGGGTTTAACTAATATCCAAACCATTGATTAATCACTACTATCGTCATCGTTAGTACGAGCTGTATATAAAAAAATATGAGAATTATGTACTTACAGGGCATATATAATTGAACTCAGGCCTCCTCTGAGTAGGCTGAGTTGGTTAGAATCGATGGGAGGCCTTGTGTAATTTCAGTAAATAAATGGAACTTGTGAATCAGCCATGCTGTGAGTCTTCTTAATTTAGTATAAACTTGAGACTCTTACAAGAAGGTGTTCCCGTTCTGATGATGCCCATCATATAATGGACGAAAACTCATACCATATTCATTAGAAACGAGGGAGGATGCTTCGTTGAATGCGTCGCCTTGAACGTAATATTGAAACCAAACGGCTGCAGTACAATGGAAATTAGCCATTGTCCTTTACTGAGGGCGATCCTTTAATCTCTTCGCCATGCACTTCCAGAAGACACAAGATTCTCCTAAATATTAATCATGGTTAAGCTACTAAGAATCTACTGAGTTGGCATTAAACTTGTATGAAATTCACCATAGTTCTCACAGAAAGCCTAATTCACAAAGTTTAGGATGCTTGGCCCATTCATGTGGTTTAGCTCATGAGGCATTCGGCCTCCTTTGGTAAAAAGGAACAACTTTACATGAATCCGACCTTTAGGGCGCAACGTCCTGAGCTTAAAGATATCAATTCTTGGATGTTGGAAGTAGGGGGCAAATTCATTATGGGCAATGTCTCCTTGGACGACATTCTTGTTTGATGAGTAGTTAAGAGGAAGTAATGTGTGCCTTACTGAG